TGTGTATAGTCTCTTTTCGGTTTATCCCCATTGTATAAGGGGTTCCCTGCACTTTACCACACATGTATATGTATTGGCCTTTGGCTATCAGTAAAGCTCAGTTGCTCTTTATCCAACAGTAGTTACCCCATATGTCTCATATACTACCATGTGGTACTCTATATACTACTTTATCATTTTAAATATACTTGTATACTATATCTAAGATATTTCAAAGCAAGTTACATGAAAAAATTACATATGAACCCATAGTTTTTGTTATATTTGTGAAATACGTACATATTTGTACGTAAAAAAAGAGCATACTCAAAACATTGTATATAGTACCTAAAAATTAGTATATATACTACCTAATCATTGTTATATACTACATACTACACGTACATACTCTCAAATTTGACAGATACTACATACAACATACAAAACGCAAGTGGTGGTAACTACCACTGCTTGTAGGAAACATTTGTCCTATATATATATATATATATTGATTCACTGCGTAAAATTTAGCATAAAAAAATATATATTAAATGGCAATTTATCGCTTTGTAGTGCCTGTTTTATGTGTGGTAAGATAAAAGAAAAAGAAAACCTGCAAAATAAGATAAAACAGTGCTCAAGCCCCTGAACTAGAAAATCTGTGAGCCAGATTGTTAGTTACTCTTTTCATTTTTGAAACATCTTGCTATGAATTCTTGCTTAGAAATAGGAACACCGACCTCAGCCGGATTGTTGGCTTGGGCATTCTCTGTTGCGGATTCTCTTTTAACCTTTTATGGACTGGAGCCAGAACATCCTTCTGACCATTTCTCAATGTTTCTGTTCTTTCAGACATGGAGCTACCACCCGCGTGGGGATTGTGCATTTTTCCTGGAAAGCTGCGCAATAGCCACTCCCCGTGCAGAACTGCAGAGACAAGGTTCACATGCTTAATTTGCGGTGAATGAGCTGCGGCTCCGCATGGTTAAGGGATGAAATCTGTTAAGGGATAGATGCAGCAGTCTGCTGTGTTAGAATACAAAAAATGTGTCATGTACTCGGGGTCATGCTATATCTGTACATCGTATGGTGATTTGCAGTTCTTCATGCTATCTCTATTTTTGTAGCGGTGCCGTCTTGTGTATGATCTGGCCATTGTTGCCGGATGCTCAGATTCAAATACGCGTCGAGGCCCCATCCTTTGACTCTAAAGCATTACCAAAGTTTTAAATAGCGCGCTAAGCTTCTTAGCGACGGATCTCTTCTAAACACTATAACATGCTATAACGCGCTATTTAAAATGTTTCTTCATATGTTTGGAGCAAATATCCTTAGCGCGGGACCTATTCTAAATGCTATAGTCTATAGCTCGCGCTATTTAAACCATGTGCATTACTCATTTTCTTGTTTTTCTTGTGTGGGATTCACCCGATTTTATCTTTATCACATGAGCTGTGCACAATGACGTTTACAAGTGAGGACTGGATTTGCTAATTCTCATCTATAGATAATAGTAAATGGAGAATGATCAAAGTGTCAACTTAAAAGACCGTGTCAATGTTCTAGTATCTACTTAGTATATCATGGACTAGAGTATCCTGTGTCTCTACTTGACTCATTTAAGCAGGATTCAACTTTCTTTGGAAGGCACTAGCACATATGCATGCGTTGTAACAGGTGCAACATAATGCTTAGAAATCTGAAAAGTTATTTACCACTCAATGTTTTTTCAAGTAGTAAAACAAAATTGAAAGTATGGACAAAGAAATAAAATTAAATCTAATTGAATATGTGGTTTATCTGTAGTGTACTTATGTGTGCCTAATGAATAAGAATGGACATTCTGAAGGATATAGGGTCAGGATTTCTTCATTGGAAGAGTATAGAGAACATGTACATGTGGTTTGTGGTGCAAGATTCTAGAAACTAACTATGAACTACGTTATTTTTGTGTTATCTATTTTGTAGTCTCCTTTGGGTGATTAGAATGTTAAGCTGTCCAGGGTCATTGACAAGAGTGCTATTTATGCTACTACAACTGCTTAACTATGTAAGATAATAATATATGATATTCTGAAAAGTACTGTTTATTTGTCTATTTTTTAGGGCTTACTCCCAGCTTTCTTCTTCGCTAGGGAATTATGCTCATGACTAAATTGCCAAAGGGTAAATGCTCTGAAACCACATGGATTATAAAATTGCAGCTTTGTAGTTGAGTTTGAGGTCTTTTTTTAGCTCAAGCAATATTTGAGTTATTGCCTATAAACATTATGTCCAAATTGCACACCTCTTAAAAGAAAATGGTTCTGCAAAATTTTGGAGCAACGCAGGGTTACTCAAGTGTTCTATAACATTCTATAAACATTTTTAAGTTTCAGCCGGACCTCACCCTCTCTTGATGTCTTGATAGTTACTCAAGTGTTCTCCGATGTTTAGTCATTATTATAGTTTATCGGCATAGTGCTGTCCTCATGCTTGCTAATGATCTGATTCTTCTTTGTAACTACAGGAGCTTTTAGGTTGCATAGGTTCCGCTTCCAAATAGTTGACTTGTGGTGTCTATGTTGTTTACATTAATTTCATTTCTAGTGCATTATTTGTCCTAAGTTTGCATTTTACTTTGGTCATTGACATGGTGGAATTTAGTTAGTTGATTGAGAATTTGAGATAGGGATACATGATGTGGTTTAGAAGAGAATGGTATGCTTTCAACACCAACTTGATTTAGACTACTACGTGTTCAGTTGTGTAATATATTCTTAGAACTAGAAGTATTATGTATTCTTTCTCTATGTTTCTAGGCTTACTTTTTCTTATATTTTCTTTGTTCTTACCAGATAGTTTTTCTCATGACAAAGTTGACAAAGGATAAATCCTCTGAAACCATGTATAGTATGAATATGCAGCTTAGTTCGGTTTGAGGGTGCTAAATCATATATTTGTCTTCTTAAGCTTTATATCATCTCATCATTTCACATATAATATGTAAAATTCATAACAGTAACAAAGGGTATTCTGTTTATTAAGTTATTATTTATCATGTGTATGTTCCCTAAAGAATTGTTGTATATAAGAACACATGTTCTACCTCGGCACAAGGTTCTTATTTGTTAACCCGGATGGACCAAAGCTCTATGGATTTACATTTATAAATATGAATGCAAACGGTCCTGCATGAGTGTTTTGAAAAGTGCCCCAATGTTGAAACATGAAAAATGATCCTATTGCGGGCTGTTGATACATTAGGGTGATAACCAGAGAAAACATTTCAACTTCGGACGGATACTAGGTCCAAGTGGGTTCCATCTAATGGACCTTCCAAGATATATGTCAATCGTTCGTATGTATTTCGATCCTTCTGAAAAATGTTTTCACTTTATTTCTATTGGGTATGACCCTATACCAAATGGTAGAGCACTTCCCACTAGTTGCAACGTGCGTGTACCTGGATCATGTGCATGCGGATAATTCTTGCATAGTGCGTATTTGTATCCTTATCATTCTCAATTTAATAAATTTCATAAAAATCTAACTGTTTCATTTTCAAATTTTCTAGCCCATGCCAATGTGTTGTGTTTACGACTAGTTATTATAGGGCTGGTGTTGAAGATGTTCTAATGAGCATTACTTTCTAACTATCATACGAATCTCGTGGTGGTAAGCAGGCACTGCCGTGTGGATCTCTCGTGTTTGGAAACTGCCTATCATCACATGCGTTTTGCATGTATGCCGATTATTGCACCTAAATCCTCCAATTACGCGTTGATTTAATGACAAACATAAACATAATCTACATGCACGCGTGCATTGCTCTATATATAGAGACATAACATTCCTTCAAACCTAATGTGACAACAGAAAAGCATCTCCCCAGCAAGTAGGAAATTGTGCTTTCTTTCCATCTCGCATTATCTGTGCTAGCCAACAACAACCGACCCATGGCGATCGGTCACCTCCGTGCCTTCCTGGTTTTCCTCCTCGTGCAGGTCTGGCTGTTCTTGATGATGGTTGCGTCGGCGAAGGTGCAGGGAAGGCCTGTGGGCGTGGCGTCGGTTCCCGCATGCTGCACCTACCACGTCGAGTGCTGCCAACGTCTGACGGCGGAAGCCCCGATCGCCGCCACCGCTCTTCCCTGACGGCCACACCTGTGGCATGTGAGTTCACTCTCCCCTCTGTCCCCATGATTAGCCGAATTAGCGTGAGCGCTCATTCCACTAGTTCTGCATGCGTCAATGTGATTCCGCTGCTTTTCATGTCTCTATATACTAGTAGTAGTAATCAAGCATGCGCGCATGCACGTGATAATAGTGGATGAGAGTATAACTGTACCCATGATAAGGAAGTATTTGTATTATTCGATACAATGTGCTTTCACAGATTTATCTTCAATTGCTACAAGCACAAAATCACAAATACTAACATAAACACCAGTGAAGCAGCTGCTCCATGACACTGACTGCTACTACTATGACTAACAAGTTGCAAAAGAACATTTTGTAACCAGCAGGCGGTCGTCCCTATTCCACATGTTGGTGGTAGGAGATATAACAGTGAGCAATGAACTTGGTAATTGTGTAGCCATATCACATGTGTTTGATACGAACGTGGATCGGTTGCTCTTGCGTCGCTCCCGCGGGCGGCTCGGAGCAGACCCTAGCCGCCGCAGCCAACAACCCACCCACCATCCTTCTCCCCCCGCCGCCGCCGGCAGCGGTCGCCGGGCAAAGCCCGCGCGGCTTGGCGGCAGCGGGGCCCCTTCCCCCTTCCGTCCAGTGGTGGTTGGTGCGGGCCGGTGGCCTCGGCGGAAGCCCGAGCTGCTGCGCACGCTCGGGGCGGCGCGGCTGGCCTGCAGGGTGGTGCACGAAGGCGCGGGCGCGCATTGGCGTGGGCGCACGATCGCGGATCTGGCGTGTGGCGCGGATCCGGTGGGGCTGCGGCGGTGGAGCTCCTCTGCTCAGGTGCTACGGGCGCGGATCTGGCGTGCGCTGTTGAGCCGTGCGGGCGGCGAGGCGTGGCTGGAGGCTGGAGTTGCAGAGGGCTTGCCGCCGGGTGGGCTCTGGCTCGGCCGCCGGCCCGAGAGGTGGAGGAAGGTGTGGAGCTGCACGGGGCGGCGCAGATCTGGCGCGGATGTCGGCACGCGCGTGGAGGGGAGGAGTGGTGCTGCGCTCGAACGTGCGCTGCAGTCAGATCCTGGAAGGCGAGTGTGCGTGTTGCTCTGCGCGGATCTGCGGCGTGATGGGCGCGGGATGAGCGCGAACATCGGCGTTGCTGCCGGCCACTTGCTGCGCGGGAGAAGCTGCGGGAGATGAATGACACCCTTGCTCGGTGTTGCCTCCTCCTGATGGTGGTTTGGAGAGCCCGACGCTGCTACGGGTGGGAGGGCGAGATTGTGGTGGCTGGAGGGAGAGGAATGGCGTCATGGCGGTTGTTGCATCCTTCGTCGGGAGAGGAATGGCCCGCAGGCGTTGCATCCTCGAGGAGACGAATGGTGTGTTGCTTGGTTGCATCCTTCCGATGGGATAAGAATGGCGCCGTTGCGAGGGTTGCATCCTTCGTCCAGTGGGGGACGCGGACGCAAGGTTGGAAGCTCGTCGGGCTTGCTGGGGAGGTGCGGTTGGCCGTGGAGGCAGTGGTGGTGGTCTCGTGTGTAGGCTGATCGGATCCTGGGCTCGGGTTATGCATGTGGGACTGCCGGCGAAAGTCGTACTCCAGTTGTGGCCGGAGTCGTCGATGGAAGCGCCTTCTGGCATCGCTCTCTTGTTGGAGGCATCGATGTAGCAGCTCCCACCTTGCCTTTCCCGACGTGCTTCGGGGGAAACCCTTGATCTAGTCAGATCGGACGATGGCGGCGCTATTCGGCGTCGCTTTCTCTCTTGGGGGCATCGTTCTGGAGGTGGACCCGGTCAGCGGGGCTTGTGGCCATCGGGGTCGGAGCTGCGCTGCCTTGTACTGGGTCGATGGCGCTCCGTGGAGTGTAGTGTTGTTCTGCAACCACTAGGGTTGCTGTTTTTCTTTTTCTTTGATCTTCGAATTTTCACCATGTTATGTTTCCGTTGCTTCCTGCTAAATCTGAATCAAGCCAACAATTTGCTGGATCTTCCAAAAAAACATGTGTTTGATACTCTATGAACTTTTGGTCTATCATCGAGCATATTTCAGCTCATGATGACCAGTTTGAAGTAGGTGTAGAACGTGAGTGTCATGACTCATGAATAGCCTAGTATTAGGCTGGCGGTAGAACATGAATCGCCTTCACTTGTCCGGTTACTCATCATTCGTACAAGACATATATAGGTAAACAACGCATGATGCTAGAACTAAACCTCAATGAATTGCAACGTTAACAAACATTTTTTTTACAAACAATGAATATATTGAAACTCCGGTAAATTCATTGAGGCATAACCATTGTTGATAAGTAAGGATGTCAACTTCTTCACACTGTAAAAAAATACACTTCCGGAATGATACGTGTTTGTCACAGTAGGTCACGTTTTCTGTCATACATGTACATCCATGACGATTTTATGACATAATCAAGATAGTCATACCTGTGCTATCGTAGAAGTGTTCCATGACATTACCAAAATTATCATCACGGAAGTGTCCACTTCCATGACGATAAATCGCGCATCATAGAAGTGCTTTCATTAAGGGTGACCGACACGTGGCATCCACCATAACGGCTCTCCGTTAAACTATTGGGTTCGATTTTGGATCTGATAACCCGTTAACAGCCCCGACCAATAGGGATTTTCCACGTGTAAAATCATCATTGGCTGGAGGAAACACGTGTCGGCTCACCGTTGGGACAGATGTCATCCACTCATTGGACCGAAGGCGTCTATGATACGTCGAAACGTGGCACGGTCCAACAGAGGCCCATTCCTGTGAAAAGGCTGTCCCATTTACTTGATCAAAAGGTGGCAGGCCGGCCCACAGAAAGCCTGTTAACGGCCTGTTCGCATATAGCCCATTTGCAGTCCGCTAACTCAGGGCCCGTTGTCGGTGTCAAAACCGGCGGATCTCGGGTAGGGGGTCCCGAACTGTGCGTCTAGGCGAATGGTAACAGGAGACAAGGGACACGATGTTTTTACCCAGGTTCGGGCCCTCTCGATGGAGGTAAAACCCTACTCCTGCTTGATTGATATTGATGATATGGGTAGTACAAGAGTAGATCTACCACGAGATCAGAGAGGCTAAACCCTAGAAGCTAGCCTATGGTATGATTGTTGTTCATCCTACGGACTAAAAACCCTCCGGTTGATATAGGCACCGAAGAGGGTTAGGGTTACACAGAGTCGGTTACAATGGTAGGAGATCTACATACCCGTATCGCCAAGCGTGCCTTCCACGCCAAGGAAAGTCCCATCCGGACACGGGCGAAGTCTTCAATCTTGTATCTTCATAGTCCAGGAATCCGGCCGAAGATGATAGTTCGGCTATCCGGACACCCCCTAGTCCGGGACTCCCTCAGTATCCCCTGAACCAGGCTTCAATGACGACGAGTCCGACGCGCATATTGTCTTCGGCATTGCAAGGCGGGTTCCTCCTCCGAATACTTCATAGAAGATTTTGAACACAAGGATAGTGTCCGGCTCTGCAAAATAAGTTCCACATACCACCATAGAGAGAATAATATTTACGCATATTCAATCTGCTGACGTATTCCGTGGCGTGACATCACACCGCGCCAAGCCTTTATTCGAATTGTTTTTACTGTCCCACCTCAGCGCGTTTAGCGAGGCGGTTTCCTTGGCAAGTCTTGTCAAAGCAGAGATCGTGTCCCCTTATTCCGGGATTCTCATCAATACGGGTGTGGGTAACCCAACCGCGCCATTGATTACGGCGCTTGGGAGATAAGCGAGTTTTACCAGGCTGGTGGGGACGCATAGTTTCGTCCGTCCATATAAGGGGATAAGGATCCACCTTTTTACCTACGCCTTCCTCCTCCTTTGCTTATCCATTTCCGCACACTCGAGCTCCAGCGCCCAAGTCCGCACATCTCGCCTCAACCTTCCCCAGCCATGTCCGGAGCGGGAGGCAAGTGGATGGCCTCCTCCGTCACGGAGGGGCACATCAAGAGGCTGCGAAAGGCCGGATACTTGTCCAGCGACATCGCGCATCGGCTACCCGACAAGGGGCAGCTCATCCCCACCCCCGGGCCCCATGAGAGGGTGGTGTTCCTCACCCACTTCCTCCGCGGACTAGGTTTTCCACTCCACCCATTTGTCCGGGGGCTCATGTTCTACTACGGCCTGGATTTCCATGATCTGGCCCCGAATTTCATCCTCAACATCTCGGCGTTCATCGTTGTGTGCGAGGCCTTCCTCCGCATCAAGCCCCACTTTGGCTTATGGCTGAAGACCTTCAATGTCAAGCCGAAGGTAGTGGGGGGCCAGCAGGCGGAGTGTGGAGGCACCATGGTGGGCAAGATGCCCAACGTTATATGGCTCGAGGGCTCATTCGTGGAAACCATCAAAGGGTGGCAATCGGGGTGGTTCTACATCATCGAGCCGCGTGACCCTGAATGGGTAGCGGCCCCCGAGTTTCGATCTGGCATCCCCACACGGCTCACCTCCTGGAAAGAGAAGGGCCTGACATGGGGTAATTCGGAAGAGCTGACCGGACTCCAAACCTGCGTCCAAAACCTTGTGAACAAGAAGATCAAGCTCGTCAACATAGTCCAGGTCATGCTCATCCGCCGAATCCTCCCGTGCCAACAACGGGCCTCCAGCTTGTGGGAGTTTGATCCGGCACATCACCAAACCTTGAGCAGGCTCTTCGACACTACGTACGAAGATGCCTGGAAGGTGCTGTTTAAGGGCGCGGAGGCTCCCGCATCCGCTACCGAAGATCGCGGATTCAGCTCGCAGCGTCAAGCCGGCGAGGTAAGCTATCTTACCCTTTACGGGACACTTATTTTCCATAGTTTGACTCTATGCGGGATCTAAACTCCCTTACCTTTGATAGGCCTGGCAAAAGAAGTCCGGGCAGGTTAACTGTCCGGCTCCCTTGCCAGAAGACCCAGCGGACGCCCGATTGACGGGGCTGCTGGTTCCGGCACCTTACGTGGTGCCGGAGAAGAAGGCCAAGAAGAAGGCCACGGGACCTCGAAAGAGTTCCCGGCGCCAGG